TCACTAATACCAATATGAATGTTAGAAAAATCAAGAATAATTGTTCATACGAAGTTGATCGATGTGTTGGCATATAATTCATCTTTAAATAGGTAGCAAACAGGTCCATTGTTAATTGAGTATGACTTATTTATTTTCAAGATGCATTAAGTTAAGTAATGTATTCTAACTCTGTTGTTTACGATCTTCCAAAAACATTTGGCATTGAAAAATATTCCACACTCCTGACGTAATTCTCGACTAGACAAAAACTTACATAATGACATATGATTGCTAAAAATTTGGCAATCATGATAGTTGTTCTGAAAAAGCGATGTACAAACATCTTTGTTAAATTAAGATGTTTGAATTCTAAAGTAAATTAGATAGGATAATTTTTCGAACGTCTAGGAATGTAGCAGCGTTATCAGATAATTTATTAATCTGAATATCACAGATGAAATTTTGTCAGAGTTTATTTAATTATTTAATAAAAACACACGATTCTGGATTGGAAATATATATATATATATATATAGAGGTACGTTCTGAACGCCTCGAGATCAACTGTCAAAGAAAAGGAGTTCACTTGTTTAGTTTACGATAAAAGACAATCGCACACTCACACATCTCACAGCATTCATCGATTCCAACAAATTTAGAGAAAACATACCATATAAACCATATAAACTATCGTAGTCTTTATAAATAAAATCGTAACGAGGAAATTGAACTGAGATGGCAGATATTCAAAGAATAGTATACGAAGTGTACTGGTGTAGTATACTGGTGAATGATAGGAGTTCGGAAAATATCTATACATGCTTTGGTTTGCATACTAGGTACAATAAAAACTAGTGTCTAAGAAAAAAATAGTGATCATTTCTAATCGTCTAATCCGATTTGAATTGTTGGATGTACGAAGAATATAGTTATAACATTATGTAATGAATTAATACTATTTTGACATTTCCTTGACACTTTAATACTTCCTCAATATTATTGAAATGATTACGATATATACACTGCTCACAAAAATTAGGGGATATTTCAAAATGAATATGAAGCGATAAAAAAAAGATTTTTTGAGCATTTGATTTTGTTTTATTAAACAAGAACATCAGAAAACCAAAGACAAGTTAAAGAAATTGTTCGATCTCCTAATTTTTGTGAGCAGTATATTTCATATACATTTCAATCAATGACAGAATATGAAATCGAAGTGTGGTATCAATTTTTTTTGTTTGTTTAAAAGATAAACGATGTAATTAATTATATCAATCCGTCAATGTATGATTATAACGTAGATAAATGAAAGTGTTGCGATATTTTTATAATCTAAAATTGCTTTTTTATTGGTATTGAATCAATCACGACTGATTTTTTCCAAGATCTAAATGTTTTATTTTTCATTTTGGATTCATTTCTTCAAAATCCAAATGCATAATTTGTGTGTTGATTATTAATATAATATAATAAGCTTTTCGTTTAATTTTGAACGAAAAAATGTCAAGTAGAACAATATTTTATATAAGAAATTAAATACGTTTTATAAATGTTAATAAAACTTTTTTAATTAAATTTTTGTTCTGCGAACAATGTATCCCATTGATTCTGATAATATGTTCATACGATATGTTCATTTAAAAGATTCCAAACCAAATATCTTGAAAACAACGCTTTTCCTTTCTATTAAAAAATTTAAGTTTAATTCAAATCACAATTTCGAGATGGAAGGATAACTATCATACTTGCTTTTTATTCCTTAGGCTTTTTAATTCTTTAAGGAATTTTCTTTTTTCAAATAGAAAGGTATACATATTTTTTTTTTATATTTTTATTCTATGATTAAAAAGAAACTCTTATATGGAATATTTTTTTGTAGAATTCCTCTAAAAAAATATTTGATAAAATAGAAATATA